CGCTGCCACAGTAACTTTGGCAGCTCCCCGATTAGCAGCAGGGCACCTTTTCATCTCAGCCGATCAGCAGCAGTGCCCTCTTCCTGTTCGGTAAGCTGCTCCAGGGGCTGCTCATGGCTATCACAACATTCATGTTTCTACATCCCTTCCTCCAGCAGGTTCACTCAGCTTCTCCACAATATTCTTTCACCAGCACCACTTCTCCTCAATTCATGCCTCCCCCACGCCCATCTCCGGTGATGCCTCACATCTACCAGCAGATCATCACTGGTAATTCTGATTAGCTGAGTTGCTACACCATTGTGTTACTTGCCAACCTTGATAGGTTGGTTTTGCTCATCAAGACAGCACCAGCCCAGTCTAAATACCTTATCTCCAAATTTGCTTTTGCTTTCTCATTGTTCTGTGACATACCCTGCTTTGCCTAGCCATCGCGATGCTTTAAATGGAAGAATATCTCACTACTGCATCGAATTTGGCAATCTGATTTGGTGCCTCTGGGTTCTGTATGTGACATTTAGGGACAAGTGCTGGGGTCAATTAGATCAGGAGCTCTACTGCTCAATTTTTGCAGCCCGGCAGTCCCTGAATTCCTCACATTGTGGCGCCCCAGCCTATCCTGCTTCAGATTGCTCAATGGTCAAACCTACGCCTCCGCAGCACTATGTCTGGTCACCCTCCCCATCAGTTTCATTCACTCTCCTCTTCCAGGCCGGCCAGTTCAGGTTGTAACATGTCTCAATGCCAGTTCCTGATGCAGAGGGAGCCATGCCTGCTCAGCCTGCCCACACAACACCACAAAACAATGACTCAGCTCATCACTTTCCACCCTGGTCAATATTTTATCCCATTGTCTGTCATGCCCTCCATCTACATCATTCAAATATTGCAGCTTGCTTTCAGCCATCAACAATTTGGACTCAGTTGATCAACTACAGTACTAGCAAAGAATGTTCAAGTACTTTTGGCTCTCCTTATTTCCAACTTCTTGGAGTCACTACTCGCAAATGTTCAGGAAAGAAGTGACTCATAATCAATATTTCAGCTCCACACAGCTCTTCAGTAGTCTCATCCCTATCAAGAATTTTTCTCTCAAATACCCTAACGTTGAACATGCCATATCCTTCATTAAACTCATCGGATGGTGGGCATGGCTTGCTAAAGCTGACATTGCTAGCACCTTTAAGGACTGGGTTAACAGGGTTAACCTGTCATACAGAATTCTTCTACTTTGTCAGCATTTGCTGGCAGGATAAATTTTATTTCACCTATGGTTGCAAAAGCAGCCAAAAACTTTTTGATACCTTCTCTGAGATGTTGCAGAATAACTATGGTATTCAGCATCTGGTTGAACTCTTGGATGACTTCCTGCTGGTATCACCATTATCTCCTCCTCTGGTTGAAGGCCAATTTTATCTGGTGGTTTTGTTTTTTTGTCCATGACCTTTATGTAGGCATTCACATACTGCATCATCTGTGACAATTGTGTTTGATATACTGTAGTTGCAAAGGCAATAGTTTGGTCCCCCTAGCTAGTGGAGTGTGAGTTCACAGCACTCAGTGCCAGGTGCATTTGAGAGTCGGGGGGGTCTGACAATCAAAAAAAATCTGGCAGAAATGTTGCAGGGAAGTCTCAGGAGCACTCAGTATTGCCACACAAGTGCATATGTTGTGTACTTGAAATGGCCTCAGGAGTAGCAGCTGAAATCCATCGTAAGGTGTTAAAAGTTGCAGAGTTGTGACCTCATGCAAAACTCGCCATCACCATGCCTCTCTCTGATTACCCTCCCACCCCCACTCCATACTTGTCCCCTGCTGTCACCTTACTCCTCCAGCCAGATGTCACTCGATGCAGTCATGTGCAGCCAGCACTGACACAGAAGGTGCAATGTGATGGTCAGGGACTGACAAAGTAAGTGTCACTGTGACTGCACAGTGCTCTGGTCATTGTGGAAATCTGGAAGGTCAGCTGAGCACAGAACACCAGAGACGTGACAAGCTTTTTATTCTGGGTACGACTTTTGAAAGATATTCCAAACTAATCATGGCTAATGAATATTATGTTCTTTTAATGATAGGGAGGCCCTGAAAGGTTGTGCCAAATTCTTAGCCAATTCCTACAAAAGATCACATTGAATTCATTGTACTGAGAATTAAAGAATGTATTATAAAAACTGCCTATTTTACCGTATCATATTCTCATATTTCTAACATCTCAACATTCACTTGTCTTTGTTTGATGCCATTGTCATCTGTCAGTGATGGAAGAACTACTCAAAGTACTTAAGTAAAAGTAGCAATACAACAGTGTAAAAATACTCTGTTACAAAGTAAATGTCCTGTATTCAAAATATTATTTAAGTAAAATTACAAAAGTACACCTTAAAGTTCAAACCTACTTAAAGTACTAAAAGTAAAAGTACTCATTGTATAGAATAGCACTTTTCATATCAAGTATCATATTATTGTATTATAATTACTGATGCACTACTGTGGACATCACATTTACTGTAGCAGCAAAGGGGGAGCTAGTTTTAACTAGGTTATATGCATTTAATCTGAATTACTGCTGGTGGCTTATTAAATTTCCACCACAGATCAGTGAGGTCATATAATCATACTGTACTTTTTTGTATTAATTTGGTTCTGAAAAGTAACTAAAGATATAAAATAATGTAGTGGAGTAAAAAGTACAATACTTGCCTCTAAAATGTAGTAAAGTCAAAGTATGAAGTAACAGAAAATGAAAATATACAAGTAAAGTACAGATAGCTCAAAATTGTACTTAAGTAGATGTACTTGGTTACTTTTCAACTCTGCCAGCTGATAATGTATGTGCTTATCACATTTCTCATGACTTCTATCTCCACCTGCATGAATGAATAAGGTTTTAGAAAAGCATGTGCTGGTTAGCCCATTGTGTTGATCAAACCTACACATAATGCCTCACATATGCACTCACTGCATGTTGTTTACTTATACTAAGCTAAATTTTATAATGGTTATGCTGTGATGATTACAATGTGTTGTTCATGCATCCAAAAACAACAACATTTTTCTTAGTTTATCTTCATTACATTGTAAATGGTTGCAATTATTATGTACAAGTCACCTATTAACATAAAGCACCTTGTTGAGCTCAAGCACTGTGGTGTATGCTGTGAAAACGTGGCAGTCAAAGTTTCTGGTCTGTGTGTGTCTTGTTTTTCCAGAGTGTAATTGTAATCCAGCTGGCTCCGTCAGTGAACACTGTAATGCCACAGGATTTTGTGTATGTAAGAAGGGCGCTACAGGGCCTAAGTGTCAGGAGTGTCTACCCGGCTATTTGTGGGACAATGGCTGCAAATGTAAGTAGATCCTCCCCATGCAGCACCCAGGTGACCCACTCAGCTGTGCTGTCTCTCTCTTGTTCTGAGTTCATTTTTCTCTTTTTGACCTCTTGATGGCTTGCCAAGAAGAGTTTCCTGACCAGAGATGATATGGGGGAATAAAATGTTTTATTTTTGAATCAACTGTGTACAAAGCAGCAGTTAGACATTCATCACATTTTGGAGATAGCGAGTAAGAAATTACAAAAATTAAATAGCTTATGGTTGCAGGGCCACAAAAGCACCAGTCGAAGCCACACACTGTCATGACTTATTTCAACCGTGATACAAAAATTTGTTCCACGTTTCTGTCATCTGTTGCTTGACTAATTCTTCAATATCTTCTTATAGGAAGCAGTCCTGATCATTGTGTTCATCCATTCGTCTCATTCTGGGGTTTTGAAGGATTTTGAATTCTTTAAAACCAGTCTAGTTGCAGTAACATGACAATCACAGCGGTAAAACGATTTGATAGTTATTTTACTTATGTCCTGACTGAGCTGAGGACTTGAAGGCATGATGGAACACAACCAAGTTCACACCAACATGCTGTTATTTGTTAACCCCCTCACCTCTGCTTACTCATGCTGTATAATATATTTAACCATTTCTCCTTATTTTACAACCCACATCCTTTTGCCAGAACTTTGAAGATTGCAACTTGTATGCTTTATATCTTCCAGGGATTTATGAGGCTTATGAGCCAGATGGGAACATTAGTCAATGGTTTATTGTCAAAAATTAATATATTTCTAATGCAGTGCCACAACTGTAAATACTACCAAAAGGTATCCTTCACTACCTAGGTTATAGTTTTACATTAAATTTGAAAGTGACCTAAGCATCCCATTTTATTTACTCCCTTTACATGCCATTGTTTCTAATATATCCTCCTCCTTTTATTTTAGAGAGATAGGTATATGCTGGCTTAATATGTCACATTTTAAACAGTCTGTGGATTTTAATTCAAGCATTTCTAGAATGGGATAGAACATGTTTTGATCTTGATAAATTTTTGGCTGCTGTGACTGTGTCAGTTGGACAGAATGGTATAATGTCCAGGTATGTATCTCTGTCCTCCCTATGCTTAGAGATAATTTAGCTACATAAAAATAAAGATTGTAAACCACATTTGGCTCTTGCTTTATAAATCTTATTCATTTTAATCCTCAGCCTTTTACCCTCCCACAAAAAAAAATCCTTATTAACTGATACGTACAGTATGTCATACTATTCAAAAATGTCATCTGGGACATTCAAAGGAAGCATTATAGAAATCTGTCACCATTTATCTGATATTTATTTTACCCTAAAAGAATCATTTCAATCTCCAGTTGTGCTGTGTTTACTGTAGATATGACGCAGGGCATTCAGCTCGGTGAGATGCATTAGTTTAATGCCCACCAGTTGGATGCTGTCTGCTAACTCTCTCTCCAAACTGTGACACTGTGTGACTGGTTTCCTGAAAGAAGACTATAAAGATAGTAGCAACGCATAATGTCCACGACTTGTAAAAAAGATCACCATGTATAGTAATACATTAAGCTTAAATAATCAGTCTTAAAACAATATTGATATCCCCATATTTACATGAAAATAAGTCTTAGTCATAATAGTGTACTCTCCACACCAAGCCTTAAGTTTTTCACCAGGAACACAAACAATGGGAGAAATTAGGGCCAAAATACACAGCCCTCCTTCTGTGCAACAGTGTACTCCAAAGTTTGTCTAAGGCTCAGATAAAGCTTCAGCTGTCCCATTAGGCTGATTCAAATGTGTGTGTTCCAAAGTCAGAGTCTATTTAAGTCAAATATCCCTCTTCTGTTTCCCAGGATAGTAGTTCCTTGTCAAGCTGTGGCAGAGGGATACGTTATATAGTAGGTGTGTGTAGCAGCCTTTCCCAAACTTATGGTTGTGAACCATTTTGGGGCCTGGACCCATTTTTACTGGGTTGCCAGTTGGGTTGGGTTGCCTTTTTATTAGGCTAGCAGCATTGTTACCGCACAGGCTACCCTAAGGTGAACACAAGACCTGAACCTGTGGACTGGCACCGCCTTAAATAGTGATTAAATATTAAAATGATATTCATAGAGGGTACAGGCATGTTTTGATTAAAACAAAGATAAGTCCATGACATTGGAAGGTATTGCGTTAAAATCAGTTTTTAATTGAAGTCCCATCATGAAGTGATGAGCAACTTTATCTCTGGAAAAAAAAAACTGAAAAGCCAAACATCCAAATTTTCCACCTGTCCTTAAATGCACCAAACATTTGTGGATCTGATAGCATGAAAATCATCTCTGAACCTTGCATGTGAGTATAACATGATCTGTGTGTGTCAGGTGATCTGTGCAAGTGCATCAAAAGTTTGTAAATACATTTTGAAGAACTACACAAAGAAAATCATTTATACACATTTGTAAATCTGGTATTTATTTGTAGATCAACAAAAATGCATTTGTGGCCTTCATGAGACACACACAAACTGGCTTTTACAAATTTGTAATTTTAACCATATTTGTAAATAACTGAATATACATTTGTGGCTAGTTATGAGAGGATTTTAGGGGGTGCTTTTGCACATTACATAGTTGTTTTTCACCTTGAGCAGAAGTGCAGATGGGTCCTGAACCCGGTCCTGAAGAGGGTTAAGCTTAACTCATCCTCCAGCCCGTTCAAAACACTTGACATACAGTTTATGTCAGCAACACACTGCTTTGTATTTAACATGTGCATCAATAATGCTGTGATCTAAACCAGCACAAAATCCAATACTTATGTACATCCATTCATAAATATACATACACCTTACTGGGCCAAAAAAGGCGTAAGGAGAAGCTACTGCTTATTCTACCTACCCTGACTATAAACAGTACTCAAATGTCACACTTTACATATTATAAATATAAATCCAATTGTCAAAAAAACAGAAAAAAGGAGACAAAAGGGATAAATAAACAAACAAACTATATTAAACATATTCACAAATTTACATTCACATATTCAGGTTCTATTTTCTTATATTCATCAAATAATCAATCTTTTATCAGTCTTTTAAATGTGCTAAATGTGTCACACCTCTTCAAATCACTAAATTTATACCCCAGATTTCCACATAGTATGTAATGAATGGTAATACCAATAAACAGTTTTGTGACAAGCTAGTAGACTCAAGGGATTCTGCCAAGGAATAACACTTTTTATCCAGGCTTTTGTGCCCGTACGCCACATGACCCCGAACAGTCACTGCTTTTATTAACAGCAAACACAACAACTTATATACGCACAGTTTCCCCCCCAAAAGAACCACATCCTGAGGGACCCCACAAGTAATATTTAACTTATTTGATGTATAACTATTTAACTAAACATATTGTATTCTATCTTGTAAATAATGTTTAACCCAAGGATGTGTGACTCTTCTAACACTGTATCTCTCAAGCTTCTCTAACAATAAGTCATGATCAATAGTGTCAGATACCTTTTTTACATCAAATACTCCTACAGTATATTCCTGTTTTTCAATTGCAACCAGTATCTTTTTTGTAAAACCCAGAAATGCTCCTCAAGTTGATCAGTTTTTCCTGAAGTCATATAGATTTTCTGATAGAATGTTATATTTATTGATTAAGTTATTTAATTTGCCAACAAATAATTTTTTCAAAATTGAGGAAGTAGGGATACAGGTCTGTAATTAGGAAATATTTGGTAATCACAATTTTTATAAACTGGTATCAGTTTAACAATATTAAGACCACACACCACACAAGGTGGTGTGAGAGAGAATACGGACTCAGGTGGCTGAATTCAATGAAACAATATTTTAATGGTGCTGTACAAGTTGATATCGAGACGATGTGCTTATCATATGTATAACAGTCCTGAAGACGAGAAGGCAGGGTGAGACGTAGCTCCGGCAGCGGTAGATGATGATCAGAGCAGAATAGGAAGAAGGAGCTGGAGGGTCACTCACTGGCTGGTTGGTGTAGAGAAGGTCAGGGTTGAAGAAGAGGCAACGTAGTAATCCAAGAAGGGGGAGCTGTCGGCTGGCACAGGCGAGAAGAAGGCTTCAGAAGAATAAAGAGGGTTAACTAGAGTAGAATACATATGACAAATGTTAGAGGAACGGCACTGGTCATCGGCGTGAGAATATGCAACGAACTGGCAATGAGCGGTGTCGGAAGTCAACCACTTCCTCACCGGGTTTCAGATGATGGAAAGAATAGTCAGTCACAAAACACCACAAAATACCAAAGTGCACTTAATTAATAATTACCTTTTATTCACAGATGCGCATCTGGAGATCACAGCAGCAGCCAAAATGATCTGATCTGATCTTTCTAACATTGTGTGTTATATACTATTCTTCCCGCCTCCTTACATTCCTTAGGATGCAGCTGAGATCAATCAGCACCCAATTCAAAGTTCTATCCCACCATACACAGTGCTTCTCTCATGACAGTTAAGTCTTCCTCCCTAAAACCAAGGTACTTTTTCTGTGATCAAAGGCACACATACACATAATGATTACATGAACACTCAGTAATGCTGAGAAAGTTAAAACTTGTCCTTATCAGTTCATTAAATGTAAAACAGTGGAGTGTAGCCAGACATCTTATGTCCTACTGTTTTCAATCATTCTGTCCTTGCTGTGACTCCCTCCATGTGAAGCAGTGCTGAGCATCACTCTCATGAGCACATCACAGTGTTTAGAGTGGATACACATTGTAGTTAATTAAAACATGGTTAAAGGTTACATTCTTGTTTAGTTCAATTACATGAAACAGTGCTCATACTTCAAACTCAGTGAAAGTTACATTCCATTTAAGTGAAGACTATACTGGTGCTTCAGTTACAGTGTCTTCAAACAGTCTAATATTCCACAGCATGTAATCATGTATGTATACTATGACCAAATGAAGGCCACACTTTTATTTCCAAAAACAGTGTCATATTAAGATAAGAATTTCCAAACAGTGTTTGTGCTGTAATCATATAGCAACCTTAATATTCCCTATAGTGTATAAAGATACTAGTGTTTTCTACTATATATTCTTGTGTGCACAGTGAAAAGTGTTAATGCCTGAAGTTGCAATGTCTCACACAGTTAATATCTGACAGCGGGCAGGAAGGCAGGGTAGCTATAGGACATGGTTAATGGCAGAATGGATAACAGGTGACGATGATCAGGACAGCTGGCAGGAGTGTGGAGGTGAGAGAGGGCAGGTGAAACAGAGCGACCCTGACAAACAATTTTCATTTTTGTAGGAAAAGTACTATATTTCATGAAAAACTTACAAATATAAAGAATTGATTCATATCCATCTATCCATTACGGATGGAGGGGTTATGGAGCCAATCCCAGTTGACATCTATCACAGGGCTGACATGTAGACAAACAACCACACACACACTCAAACACACCCAAAGACACTATGGGCAGTGTCTTTGGACTGTGGGAGGAAGCCAGAGTACCCTATGGCGTAAATCTAGTTTTAATGAAAAACTTTTTTCATTATAACCAGATACTTTGCTCGTTTTTATGAGATGCTTTCATGTTATTACAACATACTGTATTTTCTCATTTTAACAACATACTATATTTTTTTGTAATAATGTGACCCCTGCACAGTTTGAAGTGAGTGCAGCATGCATGTCGTCTTTGAGCAGCACCTCTGTAACTCATTCATTTCAGATGGCATGCTCCCAAGCCAACAATTAACATAAAGTGCTTGAACAAACATTACAATATTGACAATGAAGCTCTTAAATTACAAACTGTTCATTATGTTTTAACCCTTGTTTGGCTTTCACTTTTTGGAACGGAGGTGTGTGCTCCTCCCTAGGTTTAGTGGAGCAGAGGCTGGGGGGGTGTCAGTGTGAGGGCCCAGACAGGAGCATAGGCTGCCCAGAGGTGTGTACTCCTCCCTGGGTAAAGTGGAGCAGAGGCTGGGGGGTGTCAGTGTGAGTGCCCAGACAGGAGCATAGATTGCCCAGAGGTGTGTGCTCCTCCCTGGGTAAAGTTGTGTGTGGATCTCCAGGTGAGCTAGCCAGCACATTGTGAGTGATTTTGGAGCACTATTAGTGGGTGTACTAGGCAGCATATGGTGGCCGTGCATGGAGCTCTGTTTTCGGGTTGGCAGAGCAGCAGAGTCCCCCCCTTCCCGGAGGTGTGTGGGGAGCTCCATGTGGGTGACGTGCAGTACAGCGTGGCTGTGTTTGACCTCTCCTCGGCGCCGGCCAGCCCCCACTGCGCGCATTTCCTCCGTCAGTGGTGCGCCATGACCGGCTCCGGGTCGGCTTGAAAGGGCTCGGGGGCGAAGGTGCTCCATGGCTCCGGCCACGTGCTTTACGGTGCCCTCCTGCCTGGACCTCGCCGCTTCCCGGGGCTCTGGACTCAGTGCTCGCTGCGCCCTCTCTCCCCCGCACCACCTCACCAGGGTGTGCCTGGGAGGGATGGGGCCCCTTGCTCCTGGCACTACTGCCAACCGGGGCGGATAGCAGCTTGTCAAGGTTGTCTACCCCTTCTTTGGTGGCATTGTAGTCAAGTATGACCTCTGGCTTGTGGTCCTCCCGGCTGCTGATTCTCCCATCCCTATGAAGTGTGCTCATAAGCATCACATTTTTGCCCTTTTTGGGTATGTAGGATATGAGGGCAGTGTTGGCCGTAAACACAAAGGTGGAGGAATGGACTGGCCTGTTCTTTACAATTAGAAGCTGAGGTGGGAGCTCAGTGCTGTTTTTTCTAATTGTGCCAACCATTGTCAGCTTTCTTTTGAGAAGTTCCTGTCACAGGCTGTATGTAGTGAAAAAATTATCACAAGTGATGTTGTGCCCACTGAGGCCCTGCTTCAAATCAAGAACAACCCATGTCCCCTGGTTTTTCTCAAGGCTTCCCTGTATAAATTTGCATGTTCCATAATATGATGTCGCATCAGTAGGCAGTCCCCCCCCGGGACTGTTTTGATGACTATGAGAATCAGTGTATGACAGAACACCCAATGCTCCACGATGATCTGAACTTTTGTCAGAGCAACTGAGTAGAAAATTAAATAACAAACGCATTTCTCAGATTTAATTAACTATTATAATAGAATTTTGTAAAGTACAGTGTTACCCAGAATGTATTATCTGGTTCTCACTGCTTTCTCCTGTCTTCCCACTGCAGCCCAGGTGTGTGACAACGAACTCATGCGCTGCCAAAATGGTGGAGTCTGTGTCAGCAATGTCCACTGCAGGTGTCCTTCAGCCTACACAGGCCTACTGTGTGAGAAGCGCCGCTGCGAGCCGGAGCTGGGGGGCTGCAGGGACCCTAACTCAGGCCAGGGCCCCTTGATGCCTTCATCCTTCCTCAGGATGGTGCTGCTACTGCTGGGTTCAGCACTGCTGAGAGAGTCCATCTGCTGGCCTGTCATGCTCTAAAAAGACTCATGATCTGGTGGAAGCGATGCATTTGGCACCACCTCCACCCTTACCCTCCCACCCCTTTCAAATGATCAACAAACGTTAAACAAGAACAGCTATGAGCTTAGTGTACTGAGCTTCTGCCAGACGTGGCAACTAGAGCTGATGAAAAAGGAATGAGACAAATGAGTGCAAAGACTTCATTTAATTTCAAGAATTATGCTGTATAGAAATGGAAAAACATGCCTGTAAGAATGCCAGACATGATTTAAAAAACAGAGAAACTTGTCTAATAAGAGTAGGTGCAAAGAACAGTAGAACTCCCTGCCCCTATAAGCCATACCAGCTATCTGAGCTCCTTTGACTTTGAGAAGGGAAAAATGAAGATTGACTTGTTCACTTCCTTTTTCACTGTCACAGCAACAGCAGCTGTGACCAGTCAGCTCTTGTGCAAGCTGACAATGGCTGCTGATCCCCCAGAGTGCTTCTGTGAGTTAATTTTGGCTGAACTGATGCTGAAATAAAAGAAATCTCATAGAAATCGTCCCCACTGAATGGCAAAGACTGGCAAAGGAGGGGGGAACACAGAAATCATTCTTTGCTGTCAGTGCATTGTGGACAGAGAGAAATCTGCCCTGACACACAGACTCATCTCAATCCCTCTCCAGTTTTCAGTCCCTCCATTTAGCACTGTCTCATCTTCCCTCCCTGTCCCTCCTTGCCATGCCGCCTGGCCTGTGCTTTTGTAACATTACTGTATAACCTTGTTGGTTGAAAGAATTTGTCTGATGTTAGTGATGCACACATGTAAGAAGCACCCCCCTTCCCTCTTCCAAAAAGAAACTCCAATACCTCCAGGGGTGGTATTTAGGATTTTTCGCCTAACTGTGATTGAAAGATGGTGACCTTTATTAAGACATTCCGATGGAGATGCAGATGTCTATGGTTTTCTTTTCTATCTCGTGCATTCACATTTTACTTGTTTGTTTTGTTTATTTGTTTACACTACATTTTAGTTGTGCAGTTGGTTATCCTTTGTATTGGCAATGTGCTGGCATCAAAGGATATCAGTTTACACATACATATTAATAAAGTCTAATAAAATTCCACCAAAGGACATATAAATGTTTTGTTCTTGCTTTAACACTTGCAAATGTAAGTGAATAAAAGACTAAACATTAAACTGTGTGGACTGTAGTTATGTGCTGTACACATTTAAGCCAGAGCAACAAAGCAATCCTACTAAACACAGAGAAGGAAGTCTGTGTCAGATGTTCTAAAAATGGACCACTGAGTAGAAAGAATCAGAGTTTTTGTGACATCTTTTTTGGACATCTTATTCAATTTTGGCATCCATCAGATTTCCTGACAAGACTAAGACTTGGACCGACTGATGTGATAAAGACATCACATTCACGTCTTACCAACATTGCGAGCTTGCTGGGATTGTTAAACTGTTGTCAAAATACTGAAAATGATCAGATTGTCAAAATTAATACAAAAGTGAACAAAATGCTGAGAGGTAAAGTAGCAAATCCTCACCTTTCAGAATTTTACATGAAAAAGGAGAGAAGAGTTGCTGCTGTTAGATCAACATCACATTGGTGCATTACATTGAGTAGTTTACTTTATTACATAGCATCATATTTTCTAACATCTTTTTTATTTGCAAAAATCTATTTGTAAAATAACTAATGATTACCGCTGTCAGATAAATGTAGTACAAGTACCTCAAATTTGTACTTTCAAATCTGTATTTGAGTAAATGTACTAAGTACCTTTCCACCTTTTGTTTTTGGTAACACTTTAATCCATTTAACCATGTGTGACCAGGCCAATATACAGGCCTATGCAACCCAGACACTAATAAGGTTTAGTAGTTCTCAAAGAATATTATTCCTCCTGTTTCCAGAGGTCAAATTTGTACAAACTCCACAAGTGCTGGATATGTCTGCAAGCACCCAAAGACGTTGGGTTTGTCCACAAAAATAAGGATTTATTTGAGTCACTAAGTAAGTTAACAATGTTTAAAAAGGCCTAACCCCAAAAGCTAAAATACCATGCTTAAGAAGAAGTTACTCCCCACTCAATAAATACAGTGCAGAACAGGAATAAAAAAATGGTCAGAGGTCTACAGGTTAGAAAAGACCCATAAATAAACATCACAACAATCAATCCATACCAAACCCAAACCAAACATAAGAGGGTCTTGCCTCTCTGCACCTCAAAGTCTTTGGGTCCCAGACTTCAGGCAGTCATTGACTGCAAAAGATTTTCTGCAGAATACTAAATATTTTTTGACTTGTCTAATAAGAGTATACGCAAAGTATGGTGTATACAGCTCATACACCATAACACTTGGATACTATATAGTGAATAGGAGAAATAATACTGAGTAAGCTTCTTAAAAGCAGGCAAAACAAAAGCAAGCAAAGCAGACAAAACTAAACTAAACTAAGCAAAGCAAAGCATTACATAAGCAAAGCAAAGCAGCAGTGGCTATCACTCCTGCAACGAGTAAAGCCACTGTAAATAATAAATAGCGTAAAAACATCAAAACAATTAAAACCAACAGCACTACAGGTTACCTTGGCTTATATCAATTATCACCCCTGGAGAGCATGCGGTAATCCCCTAAACAATCTACAAACGAAACAAACTGATTAAGCACTTTACACCACAACAGATCTGATATACAGTCAGTTCGTTGGACAGACCTCAAAAAAGAAAACAGGACACAGATCAATGGAGGGAGATTCACTTCAAAACAACTTCAAAACAATCACAGTTGCGACCAGAACAGGAATTGCTTATTGCAACAGCTTCTCCAGGGGTGGTATTTATACCCATATTGAAGCCAGCAAATTGCTCACCTGGTGGTACAGGCGTGGTCAACCCGCCTGTACCACCAAAAAAAAATTACCAGATCTTTAATTCAATTTTAGTGCTAGAGAAATCCAAGAGAGTGATTTAATTGGTGCACATCAGGTCAGGTGAGCATGCAGAAATGCGACATTAGTGTCCAGGCAACACAGAATTGAGAACAGTCCTTCCAGTAATAAATGCATTTTAAAAATTTTATTTTACCTTTATTTTACCAAGTAAAAATCCTACCGAGGTTCACAACGTTTTATGCAAGGGATCCATGGCAAGATGCTCATTACAAAAAGCAACCAAACAACAACAAAACATATTGGGATGTTTCACTAAAAACAAGAAGAAAAAAAAAGAATCATATGCTAATTAAGTAGTCTTGAATTTTGCTAAAGATACTATATTCATTCATTTGATTTTCCTCTGGTGGCAG